GCATGTGTGATGTCTGGCCTAAAGGAGAGTTTCTGTCCATGTACTCTTTTACCAGGTGCAGGGATGCGACCTTGAGGAATGACCCTTACCATATCCCTTACATGCTCGCTTCACTCGACGGCTCGAATCTTGCAGGTCTCGCCGCTTGTGCTGCAGAGCTAATAAGAGCCCGCTCGTAAGGTATCGCATAAAGCGATAAAGATTATTGCAATTCACACTGTATGGCCGGATTCTCGTACAATGCAAAGGATCTCCAACATAATTATTGATATATTGAAACACTGATGAAGGTCTGGCAGAAAAAATGCTTCCCAATTTGGATTCCAGCGCGCCAATCATTCCAACACTACTACCATTACTACTACTACCTCTACCACTAACACTACCACAACGACTAACACTACCACTATACCACTGTACCACTATACCACTACACCACTATACCACTACTACTACTACTCTCTACAATGGAAGAGCACGCGCATGCACACCCGTACCTCTTAACCTCTTGAGCATTTCGCACAATAGACAACACAGCAGCCATTAGCCAAAGTAAAAGCCCACAGTAGGTGGCTATACATGTTAGGGGGCCCACAATAACAGGTATATGTTCCTCTAGTCCCACGTAGCCCGCAGATATATCCACCGATGCCAGGCTGTTGGAGTTTCCCAAGGAAAAGTACATAGCGTGTCCTATCCACAAAGAGCTGAGTACAATCAGCCACGTGTTGTCGAGGCTAAAAAACAAAATATGATTGTCAAGATACAAAGTGAAACAAAAATCTGTAGTCAGAAGGTAAAGAGCGAAGACTTACACAAATGTTGGGGACCGAGACTTAACACTCCGTTCGATGACCTTACTTTGTAGCGATGCATAGTTGACAATGAAGAATTTTCAATAAGTTCTCTTGTTAAGAGGTTTCACTATGTTTTCTATGAGATTGCGCGCGCGGGGTCGTACGGGTAATATGATAATTTGAATTAAGATCAAATTCCCCTGTCAAATACTAGGAAAAGTAGGGCAGTAAGTAAGGGGAATTATTAATTAGATCGTGGGGATTACAGGGTTAATACCTTCATACACCTGGCGTACCTTTTCCAGAACAATTTCCTGAAGATATGTTCCTGAACCACAAAGACCGCTAAAAGTGTTATGTTGTGAGGTCTCTGGAGGAGAATTTGCAGCAATAGTAAGGCTGTTAGAATTCCTTCTAATGATCCACAGACGTCAAAAATATATTCCTGGAAAGTCCTTCTTTTAACAGTGTTTCTGTCTATCCTACATAAATTAATAATATTCCCTATTACTATTATTGCCACGCAACAATACGTCACTCGTGCTGCTAGGATCCCCTTTGTGATTGGTCCATTGGGTATCCATGGTAACTGAAGACTTCCTGTGACAGTGCGATACACATAAGCACTTACAGCACCGACAATAGAGACAACGGTGGTTAACACATTCTGACGACTGTAGCGAAATCCTATGATAAAGAGGACGGATACAAAATAACATAAAGACAATGCTACTCTGTTGTAAGGCTTCACAAGCCAATCTCCAATATCAGGTCTATCAGCCCATTTTATTCCAGTTTGGTTCCAGCTCCTTGACACTCTCCCTGAGGCAAGAAGTACAAAACAAAGCAGAAGTTGCCGCAAAATTTTTTTCTTGAACGTAATGGTTTCTTGTTCCAAATCCGTTTTTCTATCTATGTGATTCCCAGATACAGTTGAAGTTGAATCTGACTGAGAAAGATCTCGGTATGTGATTGCATTTTCAGTTCCAGTCCTTATCCTATCGTCGTCTTGAGTCGTCGAGCAGAGCCCATCCGCGTTTGGGGCGCCACTTATTGAAGAATGTTGAGAATTTCTGTGAGAACTTGCGTTTCTGAGGTTACTGTAAAGCTCCCATTTGTGTGCCTTTTCTTCGTCCGAGCTCTCTTCCTGTATCCTAAAACTATTGTGAAACTCTGTATCACTGAAATTCTTCTCATGACAACCGGATGCAATTTTCTCTAAGAAAATTACGACGAACAAAGTGGATATCAGTAGGTACCAAGTTTGATGCTCTTCTTCAACAAAACTACTTGAATACAAACTTACAACATGGAGGAAAACTCCAATGACAAGAAAGCTGCGAGTATTCTTTTGAAAAAGTGATGGAAGGGCTGATATAAACTGCGAGATAAAAGACTGAGAGCTTAACAAAAAACGAGAAAGACCATTCAGAACAGATGCAAGTGTGACTCCTGATAGTAAAGCACATAAAATTGAGTAAACCATAGATTCGAGACTAGATACTGAACACAAAATGTCGCTTCCACCTGAAAAAAAGAAGAGAAAAAAAAGAAATTTTAAAAACTGTATAAAAAAAACCATAAGAAGGGGCACTCCCCGCCGCGAATGTCCAACACAGAGGTTGAGCAATGAGAAAAATATTAAAAAAACATTGTAAGGAATTTAAGACTTGCTACAGGAATAAGCTTCACTGTAATCCAGTACACCACACACTTTGTTTTTAAATTTTAAGTAAATCCCATATTGCGCTTTTCAAGTGAGTGTCGTTAAACAACAAGGAAAAAAAAAACAAAACTGTAATCACAACGAGCAATCACATTAAAATAAAATAGAACCAAGTGCTGATGAGAACTCAAAGTAAAAAGGCCTGAAAGGCAAGAAAAAGCGAGTCACCATGACCTGTTTGATTCAAGTTTTGCATCTGATTGGTTGAGAGGATGGCGTGACTTTTGTGGACCAATCGCAGAGCAAAGAAGAGCAATCTGGGATAGCTTTGACACTCAAATGAAAATGCTCTTAAGCAGTTGTTTCCCAGCAATGGTTGCTGAACAAAGGTTGTACTTGAGTACCATAAAAACTGCTACCCAAATTGAAGTAATTTAAAAAGGAAAAAAAAAGAAAACATTAGGTAAGTTTAGTTTAGTTTAGTTTATTAGCTTCACGGACAGGCAGGGACACTGCAACAGCTTGCGCCAATTACTGCGGGCCCAGTAAACCCACCCATCCCACCCCAGGGGAGGACATCCACCACACAGTAATCTTGTGCGTGGGAAATTAACATCACCTACCCCTAACCCTGCAGGAGACGGGGCCTACGGTTTATTCGTCCTTATCCTTGAAGACTGGAATATCTATCCATTTCTTGATATTATAGAAAGGTAGCAAATTCTCCTCAGTTATTTTAAGACCATGAGTATTGGTCCAGCCGGGGCATGAACCCTCGACCTCCCGCACAACACAATCCGGTGCTTTAACCAATTGAGCTAACCGGGAGGCGGTATATGTACTTTAACTACTCTCCCACTGAGTAAAATGATAGATGCCCTTAATGTAATCACTAATGGCCTTGCCACCATAATTATATTCTTACCAAACACTGTGCTGGAGCAAGTGGAAAGATGAAGAATTGCAGCAAGCAGAACAGCACCACTCACAACAATGATATTTGTCATTAAAAAATTCATCTTGTCTCTTGTTTGCATTTCAAACGAAAGTTGAAGCAAACCACAGACAAACCAGTATAGCGTTTGGACAAGAACAGCTATGCCATAAATCATAGCATGTAAGTCATAATTTGAAAGAGAGGCTGTCACATGACCACTCATTTTTTGAAGTGCCAGGATGTACTGCTTAGCAACCTTGGTTGCCACAGTAATCTGGTTCCTTGTAGCATTGGGGTCAATCTCTGCTGATTGCAGCCAATCAGAGTGCAGCTTGTGGGCATGTTGAAGTTCCCATATGTTGTCAACAGAATGCCCATTCGCAATAAGCACTTGAGATAGTTGGTGTGAATTAAGCTGCATTGCTCGTAGCTTTTCTCTTGGTTTATGGAAACCAAAGAGTTCAGGAAGAAGGATTCCTAAGCTGAAAATAGAAGGTAAAGAAGAAGGTAAAAAAAAAAAAAATGATGCATAGATGATTAACCCATTCAATTCAAAGATCTCATTAGTAACTCTCCTTACTGTCTGCCATATGATCCCTATGATGTTACTGTGGAGAATTTGGTACTGGATCAACTTACAATTCCCTAATTTATATTTTTATTAATTCTCATCACTTTTCTGCTTGATTTTGTACTGATAATGTAAGGAGAAATTCTGTTTTGGTCACTCATGGGAGTTAAAGGGGTAAGAGTACCTATTTTTGATTACCTGTTTTGAGGTACAGGAAGCCCAAGAAGAAGACTCAAGGTTGGAACAAGATCAATTTGTTGAACTTGTTTCATTGCAAACTCTTCACCTCCGCCATTCTCAAATAATGGGCTCATAAACACAAGGGGTGTGATTGTCTCTACCAGTGATGCTCCTCCATGACTGCCCACCTCACTCATTCCATGATCACCACACAGCACTAATAATGAAGGCACCTTTCTTTGTTGATGCCAATGGAGCATTTCATTGTAGATGTCACTGACAACTTGGTCCATTTCTAAAAGTTTTGGTCCCACTAGGGGACTTGAGGGTCCTGCAATGTGCCCTATATGATCGAGACCCAGGTAATGAAGAATCATAATGTCCCAATCAGTGCTCCTCAACTCTTTACCAATGTGTCTTGTAACATTGTTGTCTACCTGGAATAAGATAGTATAAGAACAACTATAAATGTTGATCTGAATCTATAAAATATTTTCCCAAGCTTGAGAAAGGATCAGGGCTTGACACTAACTTTTCCACTTACTAGCCAAGTGGCTAGTGACATCATAGATGTTACAACAATTTCAGTTTGTTTACTAGCCAAACTGGCTAGTGGAAATTGAAAACTACTGACCAAAACTGAATTTCTACTTGTCTGTGGCTACTTGGTTACCGTTAGTGTCGAGCACTGAGGATTATTTATAAGGCAAAGCAGATAAACTTTAAGTCAAGGTAAACAGCCCTAAATAAGCCCACAAAACTCACACAATGCAAAGTAACAACCACTTAAGTGCAATAAGTTTGTTTCTATTAAAAACCAGTTTAGATTTTTAGGTTGAGAGTGTGACAGTTAATCCTAAACAAATTCTTATATTTTGCCCACTGCTCAACATAAACAGATTTGGATATTTGCTGAGGCTCAGTATGCGAGCTTGAGCTAACTGTAACATTATAAGAATAAATTCATTTTTGGTCACTCCTGTAAACAAAAGGGTTCATTCAAGTATACTTAATTTGAATGCACCTCTGTATAATCAGTCACAAAAAATGATGTGGTTCCATCAGATCTTTCAAAGTGTCCAGGAAACAGCTTCATCCAGGTGTCATCACCATAAAATACAAACTTCTTATTTGCAAACTTCATCTGACTGATCAAACTGTCTTCTTGTAAAGAACTTGAATCCATATTGAGGACAACATCAATAAATCCTGGTATACCCCCTGTTGTGAGCGCCTGTTAGAGCACAGCAACATTTCAAATGATTGAAATACAAATTCCACTTCCATCTTTTGTTTAGATCTTGTGAAGATGTGCTTAACAAAGATTCATGCCTAGGAAACATTACTGACCTTCAGTTACAAAATGTTCTGGCCTTTAACTTCTCCATTTCATATGTGGTGAAACCTCTAGCAATGATCAAGCTTAGTTGATGAATATTTTAAGTAAGCCAGCAATAAGTAAGATTTCAGGTGTTCATTATTGGCAGTGCTCCTTTGCCTACTAATTTGCCAGGTATTGTTCTGTGATCTGAGACATACAATGACTTCCAGATAAATTTGTTTCTGGGAGACATAATTGCCTAATAATTACTGCACTGGACTCTGGATTGAGAGCTTTAGGTTCAAGATCTTGCTTGGGCAATGTGTTGTGCTCTTGGGCTAGATACTTTACTCTCACAGTCCCCCTTTCCACCCTGGAGTATAAATGGGTACTGGCAAATTGTCAGGCAAGCCTGATGAAATGTAAGGGGGGGTGGCCTTGGGATGGCTGGTATCCCATCCAGAGGGGAGTAGTAATACTCCCAGTTGTTTCAAGCTGTTTACATTTTACACATTCACTACACAGTAATCTCATGCATGGGAAATTTACGTCTCCTACCCCTAACCCTGCAGGAGATGGGAAATAGAGGAATACAGAAATAGAGGATATTACAAGGCCACGCGGGGATATGAATTTTACCTTTGAGCACTGTAAGTATCTCACAAGTGAGAGACACTTTCAGCACTAGAAGATAAAATTTGTATCCCCAAGCCACCATGTAATTTTCTGTTTATTCTATAGATACTGATGAAATTTCCACATAAAACACAATGAAATTTCAAAAGAACCAGCTGCGCATTGGAGCAGGGAGCCCTAATGTAATTGGCTAATCATGTTAGTAACCATGGCAACACCCAATATCCTACCACATGAAAGATAAATATAGTGTCATCACTACATGCGATGAAGATATGATTTTTTAGTCAGTAAAAGGAAAAATCCTCGTATTTCATCAGTATCTATATAATAAACTATAAGCTCTAGCTAAGAGGGCTACAAGGCTCAAGTACCTACAGTGGAACCTTGATTTAACAAAGTACCAACGGACTCGCGAAATTGTTTCATTATATCAAGAGCTCGTTAGATTGAGGTTTAGTGGCATACACTTTACTGTAACTTTAGCTGGGCTGAAGCTGAAGTATCGTTTGTTATAACAAGGACTTCGTTATAAAGAGGTTTTGTTAAATCAAGGTTCCACTGTATATAATTTACATTAAGAGCATTGCCAAGTTACATTTTGTCAACAGACATGAAACATACTTTACTGACCTTAATTCTTGGCATAGTGACAGTTGGCGGATGTGCCTTTGCCATGAAACTGAGGAAAATTACACAAGAATAGTAAACATGTATATTCCCACTGAAGAGTCAGCTGATAACAATGTGGTACTGTAAGTTAGCCTAAAGTGGTCTCTGAGGTTTTTATTTCATTGTGGCCAATACCATGATGGATTCAACTCTTTGACCCCTACGGCTGACTACCATATAATTTCTCCTTACAATATCACCCCAGAATCACACGTTAAGGTCATGAGAATAAAGGAAATGATCAGCGTAAGAATGACCAGCATCTAATTTCTCCTTACAATATCACCCCTGATTCACACATTAAGGTCAGGAGAATAAGAGAAATGATCATCAACTACAGAGGCTCTTAATTGTTATACAAGTTATCCTTGTGACTGTGTACAAAACAGTATGGAGAATAAACATACTGATGTTAGGGTGTTAAGGGTGAATGCCGATGATCCGTCCGATTTCTGAAAGCTAACAGTCATAATGCACTGAAGTAAATTTAACTCACCTGAATGATTTATTTAGTCTGATTAGTTCTTGTGTAAAAGGCATCCTTGTCTGCTCACTGTAAACAAAATCTGCTCTCAGTGCATCTATTAACATGATGACCACTCTCCCAAATTTCGGAGGCAGAGGATCTCCTTTCCCTTCAAATAATGGTTCAGGTGGAAGATTATCGTTTGTTGCCCTTCCTTCTATGGCTTTCTTAAGCGGAAAGAAGCCTCTTAGAAACAACATCAAGCCCACGATTTGACAAAGTAAGAGAAGAACTATGTGCACGCTGTGACTAAAACGCATCTTCTGCATTGAGGAAGGTTTTTTACAGATGAACGCGACCGAGAAATCAGCGATATTTAGTTAATATTTATAAGAGATCGCCATGACACGTCAGTATAAGAAATATGAATGATTTCAAGAACCTTCAGGAGAGCTAAATCGTCCGCCATTTTGGAAATATAACCACGATATGATTGACCTGCGGTGTACAACACTGAGCATATTCAATAGAATAAAGCAACATGGCGGACGGGATGGAAAATTTGAAGTTGACTGTAAATAAGGATTTTGCGAAAAAGCTCCACAAACAAAAAGAAAAAGCTGAACTTGACCAGTGTAAGTTTTTAATAGCCTTTCTTTGAAAGTATAAAGATTGTATTCTGACACCAGCGTTTCAATGCTAGGCGCATAATCGATAATAAACTTGGCTGCTCACAAGAACCTCTCCACGTGAGTTACGACTTTAAATCTCGATAACCTCTGTTCGTTTCAGTGAAACGGAAATTTGGTGACAAGGAAATAGAGAGCGAATCTGATTCAAGCTCATCTGAATCAGAAGATGAGAATGCAAGGGTGAGTTTTCAATTAATCCATTAAGGTCCCCCCAGCTCTAGTATAACTCTCTAGTCACTAGCCAGGATGCAAAATCATCTGTACATCTGTAATCCTTTACACCTAAGATCAGTATCCGTATTCTCCCTGCTCATCTCTATACATTTCCTTTTGTACTGATGAGGAGAATTTATTTAACAATCATAGCTTCTTAGGTTAGCAATCATTTCCTTTATTCTTATGATCTTCACAAATGATTCAGCAGCATTATTGTAAAGAGGAATTAAATGCTGGTTACTCTTAGGATTTTAAAGGGTTAACAGATTGCCATTGTGGTGTTAACCTTCAGTATCATTTACACAACATACCTGATGTACCAAGGTTTATGAGACTATTATGAGAGAAGCGTGTCAGATTAAATTCAGTATGGTTTGCGTGGCTTTGATAATATATCTATTCAAATCAGTTTCAATACCTGATTAAGACTTGGCAGACACTGATATCCTCTCCTCATGACTAAAAGAAGCTGAGAAACTGATCACTGCATATGGTTTGTTTCCATTTTCAATATCAATGTGAACAAGCCATACCTTATACCAAGGGAGTGAAATATTCAGGATACAGTGTTTGGACAGGACAGAGAGTTTGACATGTTTCGAAGGTGGATGAGTCTCATGGCCTTTGTTTTGCATCATAACTAGACTGTGAAGATGTATTTCACTGGAGAACTCCAAACATAGCAAAAAAGTAGTATTCATGTATACACAGTAAAGCTCTACAATGAAATTGAATATTGACCTTGGTTTTATTTTTATTTCAAGGAACTCACTTCACAAAAGGAAAAGGATTTTCTGACTGTCCTTTCTATGATAAAGAATAAAGATCCAAAAATCTATGAAAGGGATTCCAACTTTTACCATGAAGACGGTATGGCAAAGAATGCTGAAAAGCAAATTTAATTCTCTATGTCGTGCTGGTTATTTATTTTTGTTCACACTTAAAGTTGTTACAGTTACTGTAGTTCATGTTGCCTTCTTGAATAGAGAACAGCAGTTCTTCAGGAGAGATTAGCAAAGAGCAGATCAAACCCAAAAGACCTATGTATTTGAAAGATTTTGAAAGAAAGGAGCTGCTGGAAAGAGGAAGGTTAGTTGTTGCAAGGAAAAATAGAAATTAATATCTTCTGACTCAAATAGTCCTTTAAAGTTTCCTAACTCCAAGTCTTTCTCTACTCCCCCAAGTCTTTCTCTACTCCCCCAAGTCTTTCTCTGTAAATGTAAGCTCAACTTCTCATCTATGGTTGTAGAATGACAGAGTCTTATTTAGCACTTCCCCCTCAGGGTATTTAATCATGTTAACCTTGATTTGTCATTTTTTTCATTACTGTTATTATAATATGGGTATAATATCCTTTGGAGTAACTTTGTATCACATGTTGAGTAGAAGAACAATGTAAATTGGAAAACTAGCTTGTTAACGTATTGACGTCCAGTGGGCCTGTAAGCGCCCATGTGGAACCACACCCTTTCTACGCCTTGTGACGTCATCACCTTTAACCCTGGAGCATGACTTTGAGCACATACTTAGACAGGTGGGAAGTATCTTACAAACGATACCAGAATGAGCGCAATTGAGTGAAGGAAATTGCAGAAATGGCCAAAAAACCATGTAACTTTGACCTGAAAATCTGCACTAAAATCTTCTTCCATTACCCACCTACCTTTCTGAGCATGTGGTTTGAAAATAATGAGTAGTTTCCTAAAAAATCTCTACACCAAAATGAAGCCTACTAAATTTCCAGCAAGTGAGGAGAAACTTCAGGCAAGGAAAGGGGAAAAAAGGGCACGAGAAAGAGAGAAAAGTAAAAGTTGTAAGTGGGGCATTACTTTTCAACCCAAAAACT